TTTTACGACATCAAGCTGTCGTCACACTGTCACGTTATATTTACACTAAAGAAATGCAAGCCACATAATCCCATTAAATACAAAGAAGACAGACGCCACCTGTATGCCAAAGATATGTCAGCATTTCTTCTAATGTTTAAGATGCTACAACTTTATTATACATATATATATTTTTAAAGAATGTTTATTATTGTATTAATGAGCCAAATAATCCCAAATGGTTGTAGTAGTGTGTTATTTCGTGTTGTCATTACATACTACTTATACATGTAATATACTATGCAATAACTGTTGTATACGATGAATAAATATGGTATGTTCTCAGTCACCTACCAGATGATATTCTTGTAGCACGTACTAAAATATTTTATTTAAAAGAATATATATAACATGTCTGTGATTTGAAATATGGTTCAAATTTGTTGGCTATAAAATTATTACCCATTCAAAGTTAAAGATATATTATTATTATTGTATACCTTTGCATTTTAAATATTTTAATGCGCATGCGCATAGAACAAAATTTATTTATACGGTATGCTCTTTTCTATAAAATGTTGGAGTCATGTTTCTAAAAAAAACTGTACGATGATCTTATATCTTGATGACATTACTAATTAGAGCACGAAAGAGGTAAACTATATCACTTGAAGCGGGAGGGTCGTCACCTGCTTTAATTTGGCCCAAAGCTCTTTGAATTCCCATATAATTAAAGCGTGGCAGTCGTCGTGCCGAGTCCTGTTCGATATGGGCCTCACAGCGACTTATATAACCCGTGTAAAATACATTGTTTATTTACATGAAATTCGGACACGCGCTGCGCGACGACCACCGCGCTTTAATATTAAGTGACATTTGATATATTCCTGTACAACCATGGCGCAGGTCTAGTTTAGAATACAGATGATATGACACGGTAAGCGTCTGGCATTACGCCTTACGATTTGTGTGTGTTCAAGGAGTGCTTGGAGATGATGAATACTAGCTTATGACGCCACTCATTTCAACTGGTTACACGAAAACGTGTTATAACTTTATAAATTCAACTTACTTTATATACCAATTGTAATTGAATGTAAAATATAGGGAAAAAAGTATATTCGCTGGATTTTATTTTCACTGAATCATTCCTTCAGCGAAAATAGCGAAAATTAATTCCAAGCGAAAATTAAGTATTTTACAGTACTAAAAATTATGTGCTTATTTTTGTTTTCATAAAAATACAGAATATTTTATTTTCACAGGGCATTATTATGACAACATTTTCAGAATTTCTTTGTATTCAGTAAACATTTTTTTTAATTTTTTTTTTATATTTTTTTGTGCCAGGCAACAGTTCCGGACATTGAGTGTCACTGTTGTCTCTCCTGACTTTTGTTTCTGTATTTGCAAATTGCAAGTGCTAGTGACGACACATAGTGCATTTTGCCACAGAAGTCTTATTCATGTTTGGATCTACATGACAGGGCAGTGTGGCCATCTCTCTGCCAAATGGCAATTTGTAATGCGCTATCCTGGCGTCAACCAGGCCCGGTCGAACACAAGTACCTGCGGACTTTAACCAAGGTTCCCCCAAAGTCGCATTCGTTAGTGAATTAATCTCGGCCAGTGGAATTGGCCTTCCCATTGAGTCTGTGGCACACTCACCCAGGGTAGGGGTCGACCCTTTGATGTTCAGCCTAAGGTAGGATTTGTACATTTAGTTGTTTCGAATTTGAAAAACAACAACATTATAAATCTTTCGTTTAGCATGTATATATATTTCACATAGAGATAATTATAGAATTGAAATAAGTTACATTTTAGTTTCATAATATAACAGTAAATACTGGCGTAATCAAAATGCCGGGTTTCCCATAATACTACCTTTAAAAAGGAAGTCCATACCGAAAACTTGATTAACCGAAACTGATAACCAATTCATGTAGACACTTGCGGCAATTTGAACATTAATATACATCGTGGCTCATATACATTTCTGCAGTAAAGAACAAAACACTACCTACGCAAAAAAAAAAAAAAAAAAAATATTTGTATATCTATAAACGGGATTTTTCATGAGAGTATTTAATAACCATGCTGCATGCCAATCGAAACGTTTAGCAGGAAATATTACTGCTTATTTGATACGGTGCAAGATACCATATGCACATTACGGGTAAACATCATCACACGAGGAAATGAAAATCATGTGAAGGAACCGTTTTTAATGCAGCGATATGAGAGTATTACAAAAATAATAATAAGTATATAAGCCCAACGATGCAATAAACAAATAGATCACCTGGTATCACATATTTGTAAAGCTGGCTGATACTCTAAGCATCGTGAGATGTACTATACACTCATCTTAGTTTCGTTGGTTATACTAGCACGGGACTTCCTCGTGTCAACAATATTACGCATTACTTTTCCCACAATCTAATGTGCTCTTCTAATGGAAATCACAAATTCGAGGGTTGACCTGGGCGCGGCTTGCCCTATTTACCGCCGATGACTCCGTCGACACCTTCCAATCACCTAAAAATAACGTAATTAAAGCTTGGTAACTTTCCAGTTTGTACTCGTCGATCTACGCAACAGTCAAAGTCGCCATCTTTGTTTATATTAGACCCATATATCTCACGCATGCGTGGCGCGACGACAACTGCACTTTAAAAGTGAAAATAACATATTCAACCACTGACCAAAGGCATAAAGAAAATACCATTGAAATCGCAGAACATCTACAACTTAAATACAGATAATACATTGCAAAACATGGCTAAATCAGTGAAAGAATAGACCAGGGCCCAGGTGTATCGATAAGAGTGAGCACATCCCGCTTCATCTGTAACACTCCTCATTTATATTTCCGGGTCATACTCAAACGCTTGCTTTCTGACTGAGAGGTAATCTTACAAAGGACATTGATGACACCCGAGATCAACTGTGTAATATTAACCACGTGATGTTTGTCAGATATCGTTTAAATGTTATAACCAGGTTTAAAGGGGAACCGCTCAATCTAATGGATTGCACCAAAGAATCATGGGACACTATTGTTTATGTTGCTACAATCTATCTTTTATTATCCATTGTTATTTTAATACAGAAAATAAATTTGTTGTGAGATTAGGCTTAACTGGAAGGTGCCCCTTTAATAATTTAGACAAAACAGTGCCGCATTTAAAACACATACACACTTCAGGCCCGGACATAACTTTAAAATGTATAACCCGTATGGGCATACTAGGCATAACACGTTATAACTCATAATATACAAGCCATTTTTTGTGGGTTTAGAAATTATTCATCGGTAATAAGACCTTACCCTGGATCACCTAAAACCACCCTCGTTATAATCGTATACACGTTTGCTCGTTACTTTATATGTCAGTATTCGCCTACACACACTGGTTACTAAAATCATACCATCTTCATTTTACTGACTTTCTAACATAAAGTAAATCTAGATATTGCTCTATTAAGCTAGTAATTAAGAAGCGTAAATTATGTCGTGACAGACTCTGTACACATAATGAATAGAGAGGCACGCATTACTTATAGTTTAACACGTGTCACTGTTATATATAATACAAAAAAAAAATGTTTTGAAAAATAAGTTTTTTTTAATTGTACTAGTAGTATCATACGTTACATTGTTGTATCACACCCACTTTTACGAGTCTGTCATTTGAGAAGCTTTGAAATAAAGCATCACTTGCTCTATAATTGAGGCATGTGTTCTATTTCCGAATATATATGTATATTAGACTGTTCAATGCTTCCGCAAAATTGCTTCGTTATTGCCATAGCAGTATCAATTAGTACATATACGTGAATTCAAAGGTATCATGTCTGAGATTCGATTCGACCATTGTGTATGACGTACGGGTCAGTAGACCGCCCAGCGTAATATCACCTGCCTGTCAATCATTTCCCATGTTTCAGTTTCCCAACAATACATGTGGTCAAATTAATGTTTCCTCATTGTATTAAATAGTTATTCACTTTATGTTATATTTCCATTCCAAAGCAATATATTTATAGGATTTGGCTATAATTCGCGTATGGTCAAGGTACGTAAAACAGTATAAAACACGGTTGGCAATACATGGGAAGTAAACAGTGAAGAAAATAGAATTCCCCTATAAAATAATTCAGCAGGGGCCATTGTATTCAACTGTTTTGA